TGTCATATTATGGTTGATTTCTTGTCATATCTAGAAATTGATCTTACTGGATTGTGTTTTTGCACCCTGATCTCCACTCCCAAACTTAAAAAAGTTGGAAATTTTCTATTGATCTTTTGAAATATTCTTGTGGTTGGTCATAATGCCACAAAAGTGGAACTTTATTCTTTATGCCTTTGGCAAATGTGCAGGATATCTGTGACTTTTGTTGATAAGGATGGTGATGAAAAGGTTATCAAGGTTCTTGTTGGAATGTCAATGCTCATGAGAATGACATTGACATTCTAAGACAATAGTATTGCATGTGCAGAATATGTATCCATACATGTGTTCCTGTTTTCTAGTGACAATTATCTCTACTATAGCTATTATTATTATTATTATGTGGCACAGGTCTCTATGATGATATTACATTCATCTACTAGACCTTGTGCCACTTTTCATAGCATGTATCAGATGAATACATTATAATGACAATTAACTTTGTTGCTGATGGATATGTACCAAACATTAGAGTTTTACTACTCTTGCTGCTTCTTGGCGACAATCCTAATTCCCTTTCCTGCACAGAATCTTTCTTCCTTTCTACTAATAAAAATTGACTTTTCAGTGCCTAATTGCTCATTTCTAACATAGCAAGGCATTCTTTCTTCATGACAGTGGAGGTGACTCTATTTAGTTCTCATTTTATGCCTTTTGTATGGCCATGATCCAATTTTTTTTGTCTGAGAAACAAAAAAGAGGATTCTTTTTCCCCTAGTGAAATTTGGCTCGATGAACTTTTCTTTCGCCTTGTACACCGAAGTGCATTGATGTGGTGTGCTTTTGTAGGCTTCTGAGCAATCATCAGCTTATGAGGATGTGATTTGTGTCAATAGCCTGACAAATATGGTATCATATGGGGTCTGGTGATTCATGTGATTGAGCGTGGCGTGTGATTAGTATCACTTCCGTCGTATGCTTCTCCAACACAACAATGGGTTTGATTCCACCGGGGCATGCACTTCTGTCATGATGATAGAATGGCAAGCGCAGCTGTGAAGAGGTGTTATGCAGAGTTGTGAGGAGTCTCCTGTACTTGTTACTCCTGCAACAGATGAAGGGGGTTGATGAGCTCCACTGCTGAGGATAATGGAGGCTTCACCTCTTTGCAGCAGTGTATGATGGGTAAGCCTTCTGGAGCAAAGATGATTAGGCTCACAATATATTCTTGATTGACATGAGAGTCATCGGGCAATGCATGTGGCTTCTGTACCTCAACATGACACACTGCGCCAGGCACTGGTTGGTGTGGGCTGCACATGAAACACATACACAAGTGAGTAATTAGCACTTATTGCTTGCTTCTTAGCTGTGTCTGATTCAGCTGCTCTTGGTTGGATGCTCTTTATCCAACATTGTGTATCATTCTACGGCAGCATATGTACTAGTTCTTGTGATGTTCGTACTTTCTCTCATTTCTTTTTACCAACATCTTTAGACCAGTTTGAGATGACAGTCATATGAGACTTCAGGATCTCTTGGTCCCAAAGTTGCTGCATCAATGCCTGGTAATTGCTCCACCACGGATCAAGCCGAGATTTATCTTGTTTGTCATGATCTTGAAAGCCAAGGTCACCAAATTGTATGTTGAATACATTCTAATGAACATCCTGCTCCTTCCTGACTCATTTTACCTCTGAACTCTGATAAATCTATTATATTTTTCTTCCTTTTTCTCTGTTTTTGTCTGATATTGTGTCTGGTCCTTGAAGATCATGTGGTACCAATGGCCCCCTTGAGATGCTCCCACCTTTTTTTATTAATCGAGTTACCAATAAGCAAAGGACATAGACAGTGAGCATCAAGTAATTCCTGGAACACAATAAAGATGTTCACTGCTCTTAGTTCTTAGAGGTCTTTTGCTGAGTGCAACCAATGTGTTTTGAGAACCCAAAGTATATTTCTTCTACTAAAAAAGATACCTTTATTGTCCAGCATATAGTCTAATTCTCATGGTCTTTTTCTACCTTTGCGTCTAAAGTGTATTTTTCTACTTGATGCAGCATTAAAATTCCACCTTCAAGCCTGTTTCATCATAGACTCTGAAACAGGCTGTTCTTGTGATGATGGTGCAGGTGCACTTCTTTTTTCTCTTACTTTTCAGGTTCTACTTGCATCAACTTGGCATTTGCTTCTTTGAAGTGTCTCAGTTTCTTACACTCGATGTAATCGTCTGTTTTATCCATCCATAATTATTGTCATGCTTGACTTGCTTTATGGAGTTCTATGTAGGATATATCTGCCATGCACTGTGGTTATGTGAAACAAAAACAGCAGTAAAAATCAGCTACTACCTTCTTGGAATCTCCTTTCACTCTCTTCACTCTTAGCATATCGGAGAGACAATGAGAATGGTGATCTTGACAGAGATCATCTCAAAAAGGACCATGATTGAATCCGAATTATTATTATAGCTGGAACAATCAAAATCATACTTGTCAGTAGCTAAGTCAAAATTTTATTTACAGCACTTTTTAATTTCAGTGATTGCTTGCATTTAGAACCTGACATACTACAGATTCGATGATCATTTTGTGATCCTAAAGGACAAACGTATGGAGAATAAATTGTTGTTCACATCTCGGATCCCAGAGATTTTGCAGTGTAACCCTATACTTCCACAGCACTGGGAAGTTCATGTGCCTCACCTGTAACACCACACACAGATCACCAAACACAATCTGATTCTCCAAACATAACTATGTTTCTTTGAATTTGTTTAGACGAATTCACATGTCTACTGACAGTCAATTAGGGAAGAAATTATCTAGAAAAATCTGAATTATTCAGATGTGTGTTGCCTAATCAGCATCAGTATAAAATGCCTTCAGTGGGCACTTGTTTACTAAGAAATTGATTAACTCTGAGCTTGGATCATAGAAGATTGTGCTTTATTATAAACCAGTTACTTAATTATATTCTCCACATCATAAAGTTCATATCAGATTATTAGTTTCCATGACATGCCCTGGTACAAATTGTCCCCAGCTTTTAGCTTGCAAGTGGATCCTCATCAGTGGCCTGTTCCACTGTTTGGTGATGCAGGTTCCCTAAAAGGGTGAATTATTTTTGTGATGATGCCAGGACTCATCCTCTATCATCCATTTCATCATAATTAAAACTTGTAATCTGTTCTCATAGAGTATGGTCTAAATGTACACTACTAAGCTGCTTATGATATAGTTTGTAAGCTGCCATCATCACACAGCAAGGTTAGATGGGGATATCTACAATCATGTCAATGTTATGTTAAAGGTGAAGCAGGACAAGAATGGGATCCATAGACTTCGCCATCTTTTTCCTTCCTTCCCATGAACAATTATTTTCCGAAAGAGACAGACCGACTTGGGTGGCCTATCACTATTTGAGTGGGTTGATTAATCAATTAGAACCCAAATAATTACTTGCTGCACACGCCATTAGTTGCTTTTTCTCAAGTGGATTTTGATGGGAACTTATGAACCTTCAACTATTAGCAAGCATTGAGAAACAAAAACTTAGATTTAGTAGACGGATGAACACAAAAAACACCAATTTTGATTTGTTGAATTCGACAAAAGCATATCCTTGGCATTAAAATCATGCCTTGTGGGGTTGGTGACATGATTCAATTATTAGCCACCAAAAGTTGTTGATCAATGTGAAATTTAGATGCGACTTTGATGACACATTTGACATCACCAACCAAACAAAAGACGAGCCTTTTTTTACTTGCCCAAATCTTTAATGTTTCGAAGCACAGCATTTATTACTTCGAATTCCATTTCTACCCTCGAATTAAGGGGAGCTTCGTTGCAGCAGTAGAGGGCAAAAATGCAACTTCATTTGTAGATAATTTTATACATTTTAAGAATTTCTTTCTTAATTCCCGTTTTACCCCCCCCTACGGCCTCCGGCGCAAACGCCTCTCGGCCGTCGCCGTCAACCCGCCGTCGCGTCCGTCCCACAGCTTGACCACGCTGCCGTCGAGCGCCGTCATGTCCTGGTACCGGTACCACCCCAAGTCCCCCCTCCTTTGGACGACCGCCCACTCCAAGCCGCAGCCACCGCCGCTCCAAGGCGCCGTCACTCGTCGATCGACGTCGCTGACGCTGTCAACGTCCTCCTCCTCTCCCTCCCCCAAGCCGTCGCCACGGGCGCAGTCCTCGTACAGACTGTCGGTCGAGGCGGCGTAGTACGCCATGAACCGAGACTTGGGGGTGCTGGCCTCCTCCACGTGACCGCTCGCCCTCCACGCAGCGGCAGCGGCCTCTTTCCCCACCGGCGTTTGCGACTCGGGCGGGCAGACGGGCAGGCTGGGCACGGGAGGGGGAGGAGGAGAGGTGGGGGTCGCGGGGTCGGGTTTGGAGCCGACAATCCTGATGCCCCAGAGGCCGAGGGCGGCGGCGGCGGCAGCGAGGAGGACCAGGCAGGCCCAGTCCGATCTGGCTGCCGCCGCGGCCGCGGGGAGGGAGTAGAGGCGGAAGGCGATGGCGTCGAGTGGCACCTCGAGCAGGTCCATCACGGAAAGAAGAGGAAGCGCAGCAGTTGGTGAGTGAGCGACGGTGGTGGGTTACGAAAAGGAGTGTGGAAATATATACATATATAAAGGGCAGTGGAGATGAATTCTGGGCCGTAGGATGGGAGAGGGATCGGGGTGGAAGATGCCGGGAGAATCGAATCGAGAGCGGGAGATGCCGCGGTAGATACTCTCACTACGGTTTCATCGTATACACGTGGACGGCTTCTATCGTCCGATGTCACGTTCGACTCCGATCGCTGTTTGGTGATCAAATCTATTCTCCTGGTTCGGATCCGGAGCCCGCGGCACGCAACACACAACACGGTCTCTAGGTACACGTGGACGGTGAGGATCGTTTGAGACACGGTTATCCTACGGTACACGTGGACGCATGCGGTCGTCACTGGCCATGGTTTCTCCGTTGCAGGTGTTCGACCCGAAGTGCGATTATATTGAGTTCCTACTCAATCAATGAGCCCTAATTTGAAGCCTCCGTTTTGATCGGACCTTCCAATCTCACACTTTCTTTCTTCGCCCTGTCCTCTCCGTCTCTTTCTTCTCTGCCTCTTGATTCCTCCGCCTGCACAACACCCGACGTAGATCGATAGAGAGAGCTACAAATAGAAAGGGAGAGGACGAAATGGGAGAGGAGGTCAAGAACTACGACGCGCTTACCGGAATGAAAGACGAGAGAGCAGCCGAGAAGAAGGCAGAGGGGGCGGCCCCGTCGATCCCTTCCTCCTCCATGGCGATCGACATCTCCCTCCCTCTCGACCAGATGAAGCCCCGCATCGTGTCAGCTCTCCTCCCATCTTCTTGATTTTTTACGTTTTCTTTGAATTTTACCCCCCTTGCTGGCGTTTTAGAGAATTTGCTTTGTTCATGCTTGCTATTTCTCGTGTGTGGCTTTGGGCATTGGTGAATTCATGTGAGTGGCGTGGCTCCTTTGAGACTTAGGTAAACAGGGAAACGGCCCATCTGCTTGCAGAAGTATGACTGTGTACCCGAGACCGGCATTGGCAGGAGCCTGGTGCATTGGCCGTATGTTGGAAGTATTGAACGTTTCTGGCAGTTTGTTCGAGCTTCTGACCGGCTGAGCTTGGTCAGCTAGAGAGTTAGCTGCTTGCGGATGTCACCATGTTGCCATATGTCTAATTTCAATGTTGGAAATCACATAAATGAATTTATGGATCTGTATTGAAAAGATTCCCCTTTTTCTCTAGATAAGGTTAATTTGGACAGACTGAAGCCCAACAATGTTGTTCGTAGTACATATTGTTGAATAAATAGAAAAATGTTGTTATTTAGGAACTGATCTAAAAACCCTAACGCAGTGATCTATTAGTGCAGAGGCGGAGAAAAAAGTCTGGAAGAACTATGTTACTGTGTTTCTGACTGACGGGGAAATGATCTGATGCTATATTACCTCAAAAAGATATTGAAGAGAAATATATACATAGACCATTATCTTAAGCCAAAAAGAAAAATTCTGCAGTTGAAACATGCTAATCTTGAACCTTCAGGTCTTTTTGTTATGAGCTCTGGGCCTTTATATCACTCCTTTAATGCTTCTTGTACAGCCACTCTCCTCTTGACCTATATGCATTAGTCAAAGGATATGAAAATGTGGCTGTATGAAAAATAACTGATATGACTGGCTTTGGTCTTCCAGTTGCTTCATTTGTCTAAGTTTTGTTTTGCTTTATGTGGTTTTTTTTTTTAATCATATTATGATATTATATCTCTCATTTTCCCTCATTGTCACGTATTTAGCTGGTTTTGCCTAAGTCGTGCAGCACCCTTGCATGTCCATCTGCAAATGTTAGCCTCCCCGAAACCTCCTATAGGCCCTTAGGATCTACAAAAGAGAAAACGGGTTAGAGAAAACGTTTCACTCGGGATCCACAAGCAATCATTTCAGCAAACACTTCATAACCAATGCAAATTACAAACATACTTCACAAGCTCTGAACGGTCGCACAACAAAGGGTCCAAAATGGTCCACTACAGACCGAAATCCCCATAAGTGCTCATATGACATAACCTTTGTTTACAAGCCTAAGACGACCACCAAAACCAAAGAAAATGGGACTGCTAAGCTTACTATCTGCCCTTTACATGCTGTGCAAAGCATGAACAAAACCGAAAGACACGAACATACATAAGCATTACATCAAACACTCTGTTTATAGTTTTGTCCGTGACACCATGAAGAGAACTTTTTGTTTTAATTTAGAATCATTAGATTGCCAAATTTTCTTAAATAGTAATGTGAATTACTGATCTATTTTTTCTTATGGATATTGTTCTCCAATAACAAGAACTTGGTCTATTGATCATGAACCTATTTTTCTTAAATATTTGTCCTATGTTTTTGTTATGTAAATCTTTTGAGTGTTAGAATTGTTTCCATAGAGAATTGCTTGATTTACAGAAAAATAACCTGTGCAACTTTTTGGTAATACTTATGTTTCTGATTCCAAATATTTACTTCTGAACAATTTCAAAATTTTGCTAATTATGTGACTTCCTTTTATTATGATGTACCATGACAGCACCTTCCTTCACATTTGGCTGAAATTTTTCAAAGGATATGCTGACATTCTTATTTCGTTATGTTTTTATTTCTTAGAGATCTATGCAAGGATTTGTTTAAGAGGTGGTCATCTCTTGATGAATCTTGTTTCTCAATTGAGACAGTTTCCGGTGGTATCACAAATCTTTGTAAGTTCTGGTTAAACTTTATACCTTCTCTTGTTATCTTCTCATTTTTCCCAATTGTTTGTTGCATTTGTTGGGTTGCAGTCAGTTGATAGTGAACTAGTGTTGAACAGACTGTTGCATTCAACCTTGTGTAAGCCTTGCATATGTCAACATAAAATTAGAACATTGAAAACCAATCTTTCTATGAGCTTTTTTTTTTCTTTACATTTGTCTGATATTCTCTGCGTACCTTATAAGATTTGATTCATTAACAAAATTTCATCATTTAATGCCATAACACTTGCAATTCTTGCAGTGCTGAAGGTCTCTGTAAGAGACGACCGTGGAAACAGTGATTCTCTGACTGTTAGATTGTATGGCCCAAATACAGATTTGGTGATTGATCGCAAAAGAGAGTTGCAGGTTGTGTTCAAAAACTTGAGTCTAATAATATCAAGCAAGATAACATAACAAAAACCTCTTGAAAGAGGTAATATATAGCAAGTAAACTAAGATTCATTTTATACTAAATTTAACATCTGTAGTCATGTGAATGTGATTCCTTTCTTGATGAAGTTAAATGTGTCAGTGATCAGACTTTTGTTCCAGATAATATACGTATGCCATCTTCTCTATTTTTATTATGTCATGTGCATGCATTATGGTTATGTATGGTTTACAAATTAACACCAATTTCACAGAACTGGTTCTGACCATTTGGTTGGACCATGTTAACTGTTGGTTGGTTTGGTCCATATAAGAAAAAAAGCTCATTCAAAAAAAAAGAAAAACTGGTGCAAACTTTTTGAAACTGATGATTGAACTGGTGACCCATCAAACCAGGAACTGTTCTTAGTAGGACCAAAAATCGCACGAACTGAATGTTCTGTTGGTTATGAAATGATGCTTGTTGTCGAGACTAGCTGATCTCGTTTCATATATAAACCACAATTGCCATTCCTAGCACATTGCAGCACCTTGCCATCCTTTGATCTTCCTTCACCATGCTCTTGCATCTAATGCTCTTCTTTTCCTTCTCTCCATGTAGTGTTTCCTCTGCTTGTGATCTAATCCTGTGGCTGTTTCATTCCAAATATTTCGTTAATTAATATAGTATGAAACTTTTCATGGCCACTGATAATGCCTAGGTGATGAGAGGGAGGAAGGAAGCAATAGCTGTATCAAGGCTCCAAGTGGAGAAAAGAGAAATTTCAAAGTGGGAGAATATGGGATGTTCATGTTGCAGGAGTTGATGCTGGATATACAGCCCTCATTGGAGTCAGTGGAGACATAGAAAATGGTATAAGTTACAGTAGGTCTTTATATGCTGGAGGGATATCAGACTTGCATATTTGTGCTTGGCGGGATGTCGCAACTAATGAGGTTTTAGTTGAGTATGTCAATTACTGATGGAAAACTATTTCAAACCCCTACTTTGGCATGGAATTTGTGTTGCACTATTTCCACTAAGACCAACTTTTTCATATGTATGTATCTATCTATTTCTTTTTCCTCACTTAGAGTCTTATTTCAAGAAGTCTTATCATGTTTTCTATGTATTTTGATTGTTTCCGTCAAACTTGGATTGAAACTTCATAATTTACTTCCTGTCCAATGTTTATTAAAATTATTGATCTTGCTGGAGCCACATTTTGATGTTTTCTTTCCTAAATCATTAGTCCACCATTGTTGAATTTATTTTGGCACTTGAACCTAGAACCTTCAATCTTAGGGGAATCGTTATTGCAATTCAGTGTTTATTTTCAATAAAATAGTGTGATATTGTTCTCTTGCTGAACCATATCCTGTGAGGGAACAATGATCACCTGTAAAATGAACTTTCAATAATACTTTTTTGATGCAATCTGTTCCTACGTGTTATTCTTTGCATTATAAACACCAAAGTCAAGAACTTTTCAAAGTTTTTCTAGCTTAAAAATATTTGCTATGCACCGTATTCCGATTGCATGTACTCACCTCTATCCACCATCATGTTTAGGCCCTACCACATCTATCGGCTGCAGGATTTGGTGCAAAGTTGCTAGGGATATTTGGGAATGGCATGGTCCAATCTTTCATTGATGCTCGTACACTTTCACCATCAGGTAAGCATATACTTTGTTCATTCTTCTAACAATAAACCCACAATAAGTAAGATGCTGATAGCTTCTTTGGTTAACATACTGTTTAACCACTACTTTCAAATAACAATGTTTCTTCTTGATCATGTTTGTGCAAGCTTTTGCTAGACTTACCCACTACCAAGCACTAATGGTGTCTTTGTCAGATACTGACATTTGCTGGATGGTTCCTGACACTTGTGGGGGAGCTCAAGATGTATTATAAATCTACTTTTTGCCTTTTTTTAATGTATTTTATGTACATGTGCATGTCCGTGATTCATGGCCTGCTAAAGTTGACCAAACAGAGTAATAACAGAAAAGCAATCGACGGGAGAAAGAGATTGTGAATACTAGAAGAACAAAGTAGATGTTAAATTTAGTCATGATACAACTAGGATGTAGGCTAAAAGTGATGGCAGTCTTGTTTCGCTTCTTTTGTATTCCTTAAGATTGAAAAGAATGAGTCTTATCTGTAAAGTTAGATACTTGCTGAGTTGTTCATTTGTTTGCTATAGCATTATAACTTTTATTAGTTAGTTAACCCTGCTTATTGTTGCTCTCACAACCTGTCTTACATTTTCTGATATAAACCGTGGTAGTAATGATGTTAATGTTCTAGACATTACCTTTCCTCCAGATACCCACCTTGCTTCATGCTTTGTCATCTGCTCAAAGACTTGTATAATTGTGTACTGAAAATGTCTTTTTTTATTTCTTCTTTTGAATACTTCAAATTTCTGGCATCATGTTTTTGCTGACACAAACTTAGTTATTGGTTTTCAGATATGAGCGATCCTAAAATAGCTTTCAAGATAGCTAGGCAACTTCATCAATTCCATAAAGTGGCTATACCAGGTTCTAAAGAACCACAACTGTGGACTGATATATTCAAGTTTCTCGACGAAGGTGGCAGATTTTGCTCTTGCTCTTTATATTGATCAATATTGAAAACTGTTCCTTGGGCACCACATTATTTTTGGCATTGTTATGCAAATTTTCTAGAATCATCATGTTGACTTCCTTCTGATCCTGAATAAGAACATTGCTTGCAGCTGCGGCATTAAAGATTGAAGATAGTGCAAAGCAAGCGACATATGAATCAATCTCATTCCAAGAAATCCAGGCTGAAATTAATGAGCTGAAGGTACTCTGATTAGTTGGTTGCTTTTTATTTCAAGAAACTACACTTTTGAACAAACAGTCTGGTCAAAAAGCTACAGCTTTTATGAGAAGTAAATTTATGATAGTTGCTCAAGTAACTGACTGCTTTACCAGCATTTTCTTGTTTCTAAGGACGTGAATCTTGTTATAATAATAAGAACTTTTTCACTTGAGATCTGCCAACAGGATCTGACTGATCTTCTTAATGCCCCTGTTGTCTTTGCCCACAATGATTTGCTTTCTGGGAATCTGATGCTAAATGACAAAGAAGGTGAATTTTATGGCATCCCACAACATGCCTTTGGTTTCTCTAGAATCTTGATACTAATATACCTTTTTGGTGTCAAATGTCTCACAACTCTAGGGAGACTCTACTTCATTGATTTTGAGTATGGATCATACAGCTATAGAGGCTATGACATTGCAAACCACTTTAATGAATATGCAGGCTTTGACTGTGACTACAGCTTGTATGTTGCCATTCCCTAATTCTTCAATTGAATTCTCTGCTTAATATTGATATGAAATAATGTTGACTTTGCTGGTTATGTATTGTAACAGATATCCAGATAAAGATGCACAATATCATTTCTTCAGGAGTTATTTAGAATCTGATAAACCACATGAGGTATATAAACTTGATGGTATAATTTTGCATTTATCAGCAGCATATTTGTGTTATCATTAAAATTCATGATTAGGTTTGTATGATTAGTGGAGATATTATTTTAAGAAGGATAACATTTTCATGCTTCATTTTGCTAAAAACTATGAAATACATTGAACATGATAAGAAGCTTTGGCTTTGACTTGTCTCATCTCGTATAACATAATTTATATCTGTATGTTTATGTACGTATGACTTCATGCTGTAAGCTAAATTCCCTTCACATGTCTCCAAAGTGTAAAATGATGTTCTTGTAGGTTTTGTTGTCATTTTGTTTATTCATTTAATGAAATTTAAATCAAAATAATTTTTGATCAGTTGTATTGTTTTGCAATGGTCTTTGCTAGATTTTGCAAGACCTAGATTTAGGCAATGATTTAGATTGATAAAAAAGAAGGCTGTGGCCTTGATCAAATTTCTGTAGTTGAGATAAAATAAATTTATTCTGAGCTTGGAAGGTGATGGTGATTAGTAAAGATAAAATGAAAAAAGGTGAATAAAGTCATATAGAGCATGGAACAACTGAAAATTGAAGAACAACATAGAGCAAACTTGAATGAATAGGCCCTTGTTTAAGTCCTACACAACCAAAGAAGGGAGTTGCTTTTGTTTGATTGAGTTGGACAAGAACTCATGCTTGGGTTGACTGAATCCAGGCAACTTTAAGTTGGTTTTATTTGAGCTTGGACAATGGGTTGGTCATGCAGTGGAGGTATCCACGGTGGAAGACAAGGGCCCAATGGCAGGCAAATTAGGTGGAGTTGGAGGTAGGGATTGCAGAGGAGGCAGTGCAGACATGGCCATTGAGGGAGTGTCTGCTCAGACGCAAGCTGTAAAGGTGGCATCAATGCCTCAAGAAATAGAATAGGAGATGTTGTGAGGTGGGAATACGAGTTAGGATTTCGAATCCTTTTTGTTACATAAGCTGTTAGACCAAGGTAACGTTGTGATAAATCAGATTAATTAATACACATTAAAAAACATATATCCCAGCTCTTTTGGATCTCAGCCTGAGCGAAGTAGGTTAATTTGGTATCTTCTCATAAAGCTGTTGAACGATAAAAGGGGCTTTGGGCTCAGCTTAAATCGTTTACATAATACATACAAGTTGGGTTTGGACTAAAAACAAGGCCTAGTCTGAGCTGTTCACAAACAGTGAACCAACTTACACCCCTAACTATGAAATGGAAGAGGTGCTATGTCACAAGAAATCAAATGGTGATTGAACCAGCAAATGAGGTTCAAGGTTCAGCAGTTCAGCCGAGGTTGAAAATGATAGATACATAACTAGTACTATTATACAATCACGTATACACTGTTTTGATCACATAAAGATTGATAAAGAATCAATTTAGAACTCAGCATACAAAAAAGAAATTCCCCGGATGAAATATGGTACTAACATGCATGTTCCATGTAAAAATAATTCATTCAAAGATTACTGTTTCTCTTCTCATAATTTTATCCTGCATTCCAAATTCCACAGAGATAATTACTAGAGAACTAAGGATTTCGCAATTGTTAGTGACTGTTTTTAAGGATTGAGAAAGAGAGTGATTCATTGTGCAGTGAAAATTTCTTCTCTAGTCATGCTCATGGACATAGGAGTGCATAAATCTGTGTCATCTTTTTTTTCCTTCTTTGCCTAAATATGGTGAAACTCCAACCGTCACGATACACTGATGCTTACAGGTGTCCGACAAAGATCTTGAAGCCCTTTATGTTGAAACAAATACGTTCAGGCTAGCATCACATATTTACTGGGCTCTGTGGGCTCTTATACAGGTACAAATGTTTATATGTTAAACAAGGGTAACACTCAGGTTTTAAGGTTGACATCAACCATGGAGTTCTCTAACTTTCTTCTGAGATTTCTACAGGCAAAGGTATCACCGATCAACTTTGATTATCTCTCCTACTTCTTGCTTCGGTTCCACGAATACAAGAAACAAAAGGAAGGATGCTTCTCTCTGGCACAGAAATATCTTTCAAGATCCATCAGCTGCAGCAGCAGAAGAAACAGTTGCCCTCCATCAGAAGACTAGCATGATGAAAGCGGAGAGCATGCGGCCACCCTGCTTCCTTAGATATAGAACAATTCTTTCCCCCTTTGTTTCAGTAGTTAATTGAGTGTTGTGATTTCAGGGGGCATTTCACAGCCGCGGATTGCTTTCGATTCTTTTTTGCTAGTATCCAGAAGCAGAACATATTTTCTGGGAGTCGTGGCATGACAACAGTTGTTAATTATAGTGAAGGTTGTGATGGGATTGCGTATATTTCAATAAATGAGCTCTTAAGAGAAAGTACAGACAGCAATGCAACAGGAATTATACTGACTATTATATAATGCGAGAACTCGCGGTACTTAAAAATGTAGTTGTTCTTTCTACTGTGGGAATTCTTGGTACACCGACAGATTCCCTCTAATCATGCTGCGCCACTGACTTTGGGTCGTTGATTTGTTTTGTAACTTCAAATCATTTATGATTTCTTTTAAGAATCTAAATAAATTTAAGATAAATATATTTCTTAAGAGAGTATGTATAAATATAATAATAAAATTAATTACTTAATTGGTTTTTGATGATTTGTTACTATTTTTGACGAGTAGTAAGTCATTGCTTTCTTTCTTTGTTGATACACAATCTTGACTTATTTTTATTTTAAATTTTTAATATTTATCGTAATAATATATATGTTTTTACGTGATTTTATTACATCATTATTATTAATAGATTCTTCTAAGTAATGTTTTAGTTATTCATTTACGATAAGTAAGTCATTATTTGTATTTTACAAAGCATATAATTCTAATAATTTTTTAAATAACTCATTTTTAAGTTTAAAATTAGATGATTCTAAACCTTCACATTTAATACAAAAAGTATAAAATGTAGACATATAGTTGTCATACTTATATTTTAATATATCAAATTTATTAATGTGTGAGACATGATCTTTTTCTAGTAAACTATATTTTTTATTATTATTTTAAGTTCATAATCATGAAATGCTTTAAGTAATTCATCATGAGTCAAATACCTTGTCATTCAAAGTTATTAAAACATAATTTATTATTTTTTTATTGATTTGTTCTTCCGACTCACTTATTCATTCCATGTTGTTATAAATGTTTTTTTCTTCTTTTAGGTTGATAATTTCATTTTCAATTATGGACACTCAATTTTAAAATATCTCAAATTTTTATGCTCATAACATATAACTACATTTTTTTTGGGCTCTTTTTTATTTTTATCTTCACTTGTCAAGTTTGTCTTATCATAAACTTTTTGAATATTTTGGTAAGAAATATTACATCTTTATCGTCATCGCTTGAACTTTCGCTTGAGTAATCTTTTTTTTGGATTTGATAGCAATATCCATTCTTTTTTTAGAAAACTTTTCTCTTTTTCATCATATGCTTTGCATGTCATTTTATAGATCATCGAAGATCCTTAGTACTAGCTTTTTGAAAGAGATTTTAAGATCTTACGCACTAATTCAAGATTAGTATAATTTTTACCAAGAACTTTTAATTCATCGACAATATTTATAAACGGGTGTATATATCACCAATAGATTTATATAGCTTCATTTTGGATTCTTTTATTTTACTTGTATCTTTATGAGCAACTTAAGTATGTGTAATTTATATGATAATAGATTTATATGCCCTTGTTATAACTTTCTCCTTTTTGAAGGTAAAGAGATAATTTTCATACTATTCTTTCACACAAGATCTCCCACTCCCTATAACTTAGAATTATAACTAAACTCAAGAGAATAAGAAGACTTAAATTTTACTTAAAATAAGAGCTTACAGTACTTCACTAGCTCAAGATTAATGTTCTATCAATCAAGTATGAATGAGGTATTTATAGGCTCAAAAGGCTTCAATGAAGTTAAAAATTTAAATTCTTAAAATTTTGGAGTACAATTTACTACCAACATTGGGTGATACTATTGTTATAACTATGCTATAAATCTGGACTATTGTGGTATTATAATCGGCCTAGGTAGTACTATCGTCTCCATAGGAGGTACCATTATTGAAAAAACTGAGAAAGCATAGACAGTGTATGTCGATTGACTTTGAAGGTACTACTACTTAGGCTTGATAGTACTATCACCTAAGCCTAGTTTAGGCCATTGGTTTGGCCTTCTAATAAACCCAATTCGACCTAACTTTAAGCCTAATGGCTTTCTTGACAAGTGAGTTTTGTTTTGACCTAATACTGACTTAAATTAATATATAATAATCTCAATTAAAATCTTGACATATCAACCACACATTTAGCATATTTACGAAGGTTTTGACACATTGTATGCTCTTCCGACACATCGTTCGATCTTTCGGTACTTCGTTTAATACTTTGTTACATTGCTCTTTCCTTTGGTATATCGTCCATTTTATCGACATATTAACTTTACCACGATATTTAATCTTCTAACATAATATTTGTTATTTTGGCACGATGCCCGAATCTTTAGCACAAAGTCTGATTTTCAATATGTTAACCAATCATCCGACTCAACATCCAACTTTTGAAATGTTCGACTCTCTTGCTCAATGGTTCACCCTTCGATGATCCGAGTTAGTAATCAAAGTATTTTTCTATATCATTTTTCTCAATGACATATTAGTTCAATAAATTTATTAATTAATTTTATTATCAAATTTTAATATTCAACAAAAGTTCTTGGAAAGGGTTGTTAGCTCTTTATCGAATATACAAATGGAGATAGGAAATTTTGTCAAAAAAAAAATCCCAAAGTTCATGTTATAATTCTTGTGTTAAATTTGGGGGATTTTCCTAATATGAGATCAAAAACAATACGAGTTATAGAAACTTTTCTATATAATTGAAGACTTGTGGGGTAGCTCAATAATTACTTATTATAAGAGCTTATGTACTTCCTTGATGTTAGCTTCTCTTAGATGATTCAAAATACCCTTCTCATTTTATTAGTAAATGATAATAACCTTTAGGTGTATTAGGTCATTTTCTAATAATATTATGAGTTCAAATTATTTTATGTTTACTTTTTCTTCCTAATGTTTAATTCTTAGGTTTCTTTAAGACAGAGCAACACTTAAATAAATTAATAAAATAATATTAATGATGTAAAGAGCCGAAGAAAAAAAGAAAAGAAAAGTATGATCGGATTATCAGTTCTGCGAATCATTAATATTAAGATAATGATAATGACGATGATACGATAACAATGACAGTATGCATGAACACTAAGAGTTGATATTAGTGATAGAGTTTGGTCCATTAAAAATATGTCTGAAGTTGATTTTGGAGAAACGTTCCATTATTACAGAGACGAAACCAGATATCTAAAATGGGGGAACCTATCAAAGAGGTCCCCAAAAACAAGTCATAATCCCTATGCCAAATTTGAGATATTTGCTTAATATGAGAAGAAAAATAATGTGAGTTATACAAACTTTCCTATACAATTAAAGACTTGGGTAGATTCATAATTGCTTGTTATAAGAGCTCATGTACTTTCTTGATATTAGCTTCTCTCGAGCGATTCACAATAGAATGCCACAACATTAGTTTGGAGTAGGATGAAATTTATGGGCAACTTACTTTTATCATTTTATTATTAAATGATAATAAACTTCAAATGTATTGGGTTATATTTATCTCTTTTCCTGATGTTCAATTCTCAAGTTTGTTTATGATGGACGATAGTTGAATAAAATAGCAAAAGAATATTTATGTTGCAAGAAGAGAGAAAAAATGATGAAAGGGTATGATCGAATTGTTAGATCAACCATCATGAAGATAATAATGTTGGCAACTAAAATGATAATGACGATAACAATGACAATATGCATGAGTACTAAGATAGTTGACATTAGTAGAGTGTGAATGATGAGTTTAGACCATTAGATTAGGACTTGAAATTGATTTTCCACAAAGGTTTGACAAAAAAGATATAATGTGGATGACAATATGCATGAGTACTAAGATAGTTGACATTAGTAGAGAGTGTGAATGATGAGTTTAGATCATTAGATTTGGACTTGAAATTGATTTTCCATAAAAGTTCCGACAAAGAGATAATGTGGATGACAATATGCATGAGTACTAAGATAGTTGACATTAGTAGAGTGTGAATGATGAGTTTAGATCATTAGATTTGGATTTAAAATTGATTTTCCATAAAGGTTCCGACAAAGATATAATGTGGATGGGAGTCATCAGGGAGAAATCTATCAAAAGAGCACCCAAGCATAAGTCATAATCCTTGTACCAAATTTAGGAGATTTGCCCAAGCACAAAAACAATTTGAGTTATATAAATTTTCCTATGCAATTAAAGAGGTAGCTTAAATAATTGCTTGTTATAAGAGCTTATGTACTTGCTTGATGTTAGCTTCTCTCAAGTGATTCAAAATAGAAGAATACCATAGCTTTAGTATGGAATATGAAACTTGTGAGTATCTTACCCATATCATTTTATTATTAAATGATAATAAACTTTAAATGTATTGAGTTATTTCCTAATAATATCATGAGTTCAAATTATTTTATATTTACCTCTATTCTTAATATTTAATTCTTGGGTTTCTTTAAGATAGAGTAATAAATAGAAAAAAAAATAGTGATCCCAGAAAAAAAGATAAAATGATGGAAAAGGTATGGTCAGATTGTCAGATCCACCATTACCATCATGGAGATGACAATGAAAATGATGGTGATAATAAAAAAGACAACACACATGAGCACTAAGACAGTTGACATTAGTAGTGTGTTTAGGGCGAGTTTGGACCATTAGATTTAGACTTGAAGTTGATTTTGAACAAAAGTTCCAACATAAATACATGTGGATGGTAGTTTTCTGTCCCATTATCATTAAGACATAAAGTTGATATCTACAAAGGTAGAATCCATCAAAGGAATCCCCAAGCACAAGTCATAATCCTTGTTTTTGATGTAATTGAGGACTTGTGGGCTAGCTTAATAATTATCTATTGTAAGAGCTTATGTACTTGCTTGATATTAGCTTCTCTCAAGTGATTCAAAGTCTAAAGTATGATGAAACTTGTGTGCAACTTACTCTTATCATTTATTATTAAATGATAATAAAATTTAAATGTATTGGGTTATTTTCTAACAATATCAGGAGTTTAAATTATTTTATATTCGCCACTTTTCCTAATGCTTATTTCTTGAGTTTCTTTAAGATAGAGTAATAGTTGAATAAAATAACAAAAAAAATATTAATGATGTAAGAAAAGAAAACAAAATGATGAAAAAGTATGATAGAGTTGTTGAATCCACCCGACAATAATAATAATGATAATAATGATAATAGACATAGGCGTACTAAGATAATTGATATTAATAATGTAGAGTTGTTGAATCCATCGTGACAAAGACCATGACAAGGACAACAATAATAATGATAATAATGATAATAGGTATGGGCGCACTAAGATAATTGATATTAGTAATATGTACAGGATGAGTTTGGGCCATTAAAAATAAAATTATTGATTTTGGACAAATGTTCAAACTAAGATATTATCATAAAGAAAAAAAATGAGATATCTAAAAGAGAGGAATCTATTAGCTCTATGATATTATTATAAAGGGAAAAAAAAAGAGATATCTAAAACTGGAGAAATTTGTTAAAGAAATCATTTAGCACAATTCATAATCTGTGTCAAATTTGAGAGATTTGAGCACAAAAACAATATGAATTTTGCAAAATTTCTTATGAAATTGAAGACTTGTAATTATGTACTTCAACCATAATGTGGAGCATTATGAAATTTGTGAGCATCTTATTCTTATTATTTTATTATTAAATAATATTAAACTTTAAATGTATTGGTTTATTTCCAAACAATATTATGAATTCAAATTATTTTATGTTTACTTTTATCCTAATATTTAATTCTCAAGATTTTTTTAGATAAAATAATAATTAAATAAAATATTAATCTTACAAGGAGAGAAAGAGAAAAATGATGAAAAAGTATAGTCAGGTTGTCAGATCCATCAAAATGACAAAAATAATCACAATGACAACAAATGATTATTTTATTATTAAATGATAATAAACTTTAAATGTATTAGGTTATTTCCTCAACTTCTTTCAAATGATTCAAATTTAAATGATAATAAATTTGAAACTTGTGGGTATATTAATTACCCTTATAATTTTACTATAAATTATAATAAAATTTAAATATATTTGGTTATTTTCTAACAATATCATGATTTTAATTTTATATTTACCTCTTTTCCTAATGTTTAATTCTCATATTTCTTTAAGAGATAGTAAAAGTTGAATAAGTTAAAGAGTATATTTGGGTTGGTATCTCATAAGTTATAATAGCTTCTATTTGATAGTTTACATCATACTAAAATATCATAGATGAATTTATAATCAATCCTCGTCTTAAATTCTTTCTCCATAATGGACTTCATGAATATTTTTTTTCTATACTACTGTCCAAAGATATTTGGCTCATTTATGAAATTTTGGTAGGACTTTATATTAAATAAAAGATAATTAGCTATTTTTTATTGGTTTGGTGGTTTCAAGAAGTTTAATACAGAAAAGTACACTCCAAATAATAATAATAATAATAATAATTAACGATAAAAGAAAGATCGGAGACAGACTGGTTTACCCAACCCCACCCATTCCTCTCAGGAATGAGCATAAGATTTTAGTTCATGAGTACAAAGTACGATGGACCCCACCTCTCGTATTGGGGCTCGTAGGAACCGTCAGTAAGTTTACCGGCGTGCGGGCCCGGCGCGTGCCCCTCCAATGGGACGCGATCTCTTGCCCGTTGACCCACAAGCAGCCGCGCCGGTCCCGCCAAGTCGAATAAGTTTACCGGGGTAGTAATTATTGCCGACGCACGATGGTGATGATGATGCCACTTGGACGAAAAAGAACATTGCACAGCTCGGATCATAATGCATCTCAGTCGTCGTCGTGTTTACAGGTGGCATTAATTTACTGGTTTGAAGAAGATGGATGCTGCTTTCCACAGTTCATGGTGTCATGATTCATCGTCTGGTCTCATAATAATAATAATAATAATATTTTTATTAGGTGTTGGGCAAGTCACTTTGACGTCGAGTGTGATGACATGGATAAAATTCTCTTTATAATACATGAAAATAAATATAAGACGTATAAGATTATACAGCATGTCGATCATTTCTACAAATCCATTCCACCGTAAGCAATTAAGATATGATCGGATGATCATGCACGCATCTTGACCAAAGTCAATCAATCAGGTACTTTCACGTATCTCAAATAGATGTTGAACGCTCGAGGGAAAAGATGAAGCTTTCCCTCACATGCTAGTCTTCCCCTTTTCGACATCGAAGCCTGCTTTCTTGGATTGACATGGAGTGAGTCCACTCCCACAGCGGTCGGTGCAACAACTCGGCTGAGTCTCTGCTCCCCATTTTCCGTGTTGGCGCCGCACTCCAGGCGGTGGCGGACGAGTTGACCTTTCGGCGATTTCCACCAATTGGGTCCATCTCGGAATTCACCAGGCGGAGCAGGTGAGCGCGAGTTCCGAGAGGAAGCTTTCCTTATTGACTGATTTCCATGCGAGGCGGAGAAGACGACGGATAAGAGAAGGGTCCAGAGGAGCGAGAGAGAGATATAGGGGAAGGAGAACGGGACGTACGAGAGCGACGGCAGCGCGCCGCGACGCCCCGCGCGTGGCGGCACGGGGAGCCGAGTTGGCCTTGACGCCCACGTCCCAATGACCGAACTACCCCCATCTCTCTCTGGGTGGGGTTGAGGTGGCGGGTCCCGCACCCCCTAAAGCCGCAGGGTGTGACGCGGGGTTACCCCTTTCGGGTCCAACCTCCAACCAAAAGCTGCACGTTCCCACGTTGGTGCAGCCTTCGTCTCCTCCATATGGACCCCACCATACGCACACATATCCGAAATGATGTATTTCTAAAACATTACATAATCATTTTATTATTTCAGACAAAATTGCATAATATTGTCGTACCTGCAGAAACCTTAATATTATATATATATATATATATATATATATATATAAGTTTCTATTTTTTTTCTACATTTCGCTTAAAATTTACAATAGATAATAAATTCGGAAAAAAAAAAGTGAGGCAAATATTTTTGTTCCAAAAGGACTCTTTACTCCACAGTGGCATTTTCGTAAAAGAAAAGCATGTGTCCGTTTCCGGTTTGCACGCAACGTTTTAAGCAAAGCAAAATAAATAAATAATTAGATAAAATAAAATAATCATTTATAATCTAAATGTAAACTAATATATTCATAAAAAAATAATCCTCTACTTTTCTTATTCAGCAATTTATTAATTAAAGAAATCAAATTTGTTCCTTTCTTTACAAGTTTTTATTTTTTTATTTATTTAATATTAACTGCAAAAATAAATAAATAATTCTTTTTTCCCAATAAATTGACGGAGAAGAAGGCGACGCATCTTCTGTACGTCTTCTCGTCTCTGCCCCATCCCTTTCGTGTGGCCCCCAACCCGAACCAGTAGCGCACGAAACCCCACCGTTTCGTCGTTTCCCGGCGCCTCTCCGGCCTCCTTCTGTCGCCACAGCAGAAGCGACTTCTCTGTCCTCCGAGGCCAACTCGCTGCCTGAGCTTGCTGGACCGGAAGCGCGAGGAGGGGATCGGTGTGGATGGTATAGTTTCGGCTGCTCTGCAGGCGAATCTTCTTACTATGGCGAAAAGGACTGTTTTTTTATCGCAGCGTACGCGCTCTGGGTAGGATTCTTAAGCGGCGGAGGACGCCTTTGAACCGTAGAGAGAGGGAGGGGGATAAGTGGTAGCTTTGCTGGTCCCTGAAGGCGAACGGCCGGGGTGGAGGAACGGAGCAGCCTCCTCGCTTGAGCGTGGCAGATCGGAAGAGTGGTTCTCGGTTCCGCTTGGCCTAAATGAAGGTTCCTACGGCTTGTGGATTCGCGGGGAATCCAGAGGAAGGTGCGCTTGTCGTTTGCCATTGATTCTGGCTCTTCCAGTTTTGGCTTTTAGCACAATCTTCAAAGGTCAAAGGTCTCTGTTCGTTGATTTGGAGTGTCGTTCGCTATGTGCTTCGTGATTCCTCTCCGTTTCTCTCATAGAAGTCGTACTGGTAACGAATGAGCTAAATTGTACCAAGCATTCGAATGATTTCGAGCCTTTTGGTTTCTCCAACCTCATAACTGTCGATGTTTACCTGTTATAAATATTGGATTTCCCAGAGTTTGCGCTCAGCAACAGTGATCTTGATTCCCGGTAGGAAAAAGGACGAGTCTGCATCTTTATTGAAGCACGCTTCTTGTCCTTCTTCTTCTTCCTCTTGAACTGTGTTGTTCCAAGGCAGTGTTTTGATGTCTCACGGTTTATCTCCTTAACTCTCTTGGACAAGTTCTTGTCGGATTTGATCCCTAGTATCGCGAAACACTGATTAGATACACAAAATAGTGGAGATCCTTGCATTTAAGAGCTTGTGCCAGACCGAAGGACTGCAGAACTGCCTGTTCAGAGATATTCCGGTAGAATATGTGCACATACATATTTTATTGGACTATCCACTTATTAGGAAATAACTTTGCATTGGCAGTGCTTGCTTGCATTTTTGCCCTTTTAGGACAGATCATACCCTCAAGATGAATGATAGTGGTCCACTGATGATTGCTTGCTCTGCTCTGTGTGAAGCAGGAGAAAAGAAGATAATCGATTCTGAGCTATGGCATGCTTGTGCTGGACCACTGGTTTCTTTGCCACCGGTAGGCAGCCTAGTGGTCTACTTCCCACAAGGCCACAGCGAGCAGGTCTGTCCTCTCAGTGGATTTGATCTGAATCCATCTAATATTGAGTATCTGATCATGAGCATTGTGTAATGGCAATATCAGGTCGCGGCCTCGATGCAGAAGGAGATCAATGACATTCCAAAGTATCCCTCACTGCCCTCCAAGCTGATTTGTGTACTTCTTGATGTCACCATGCATGTAAGTTTTGCAGAGAGGTTTTTCATGCCCTCCTCATGCAACTTTATATTGTGGTCAAAGTATTGTGCTAATACATCTGTCATCAGGCTGATGCCGAAACAGATGAGGTTTATGCTCAAATGACTCTTCAGCCTGTTAACAAAGTAGGTTTGGTATCAATGCCTGCCTTTTTGTTTTTGCTCTTTGTGATTTTTGTGCATGCTGGTGTTCTGGTCTTGACACAACTTTGATATAGTATGACAGAGAAGCAATGCTGGCATCTGAAATGGGCCTCAAACAAAACAAGCATCCAGCTGAATTCTTTTGCAAAACACTCACCGCGAGCGATACAAGTACTCATGGAGGATTTTCAGTTCCCCGCCGTGCTGCTGAAAAGATATTTCCACCTCTGGTATGTTGTCGTCATATGTATTTGGCCATACTTCGTTTTTATTGTATAGATTTCACAACATGTAGATTATGCTTGGCTTACAAGAATTAAATTTGGGTAGGACTTCACCATGCAACCGCCAGCTCAAGAGTTGGTGGTCAAGGATTTGCATGATGTCTCTTGGACATTTAGGCATATATTTCGTGGTAAGTGCCTTGTGTCTTTCCTCCATTCTTAGAATCAGTATTCACTATGTAAATTTAATAAAATATATTAGTTACAGAGGAAAATTATCTAAATTGTGGTCAGTTTTGGCTTGCTTATCCTAAAACACCCTTTATCAGCTTATTCTTTTATTTTTACTTGTCCCACTTTGGGATTCTGAAAATTCAACACCAGTTGGTGAGCAGTGGCATGTTTATTTTTCGTCTTGTGATCAAGTGTATGGTACTCTAAAACTTTTTTTTGAAATAATTTGTGGAGTTTTGTATTGCTATCAGGGAAAAATAATTTCCCTCAATGATTAAAAGCAGGAATTTTTAGTTGACTTTCCATCTGGAGTTTCACTTAATATTGAATCTAATAATTCCAGACTTGTGATGTTGAAGCTTGGGTGGTGGTTTATACTTACCTTTTTCTGGAAACTTCCATCACTTCTTATTTCCATTGCTGTTGTGAGTCCCAAGTTCTTGAGCTCCTTAGTTTTGTATTACCTATCAATTTTATAGTACTTATGAGATGTAAATGTAAAGTTCTTCCAACCAACTGCATGTTGAATTTCATGTCTACTCTATGTACCTTGATCCCTTTACTCCTCACTGTCACACACACAAAGACATCTATTTTCTTAAACTTGTCCCAAAGTTCAACATACCTCAATACTGTCATGACTCTTTATTTTGTTGTTTGCTTTGACACTTGAAAACTTGAGATGTCAAAAGTAGTTTATAACACATTGTCTTTTTTAATTCCTGCATCATTATAACTGCCGACATGTTCTTATTGTTAATATATCTGATGTAATTTGATATTTCTTGCACCACTTTACATTGTGAGAGCAGCTTATTTTACTTAGTTAATCCTATTATTTTGAACGAAAATGTTTTATGATTATTGCAAGAATATAATTTAGGCACACAATGAGAGTGATCTAAAGAGTGTCTATTTGCAATGACTTGTCTGCCAATGCAGGTAGATTTTGGTGCATACTAAAGATTATTTATTGGTTGCTTCTTGATTCAATTTTCATCATTGACCAAATGGCAGGTCAACCAAAAAGGCATCTACTGACAACAGGGTGGAGTGTGTTTGTTGGTACAAAGAGACTTTCTGCTGGTGACTCTGTTCTCTTTATCCGGTATGACGAAAAATTTGATGGTGAACTTCTGTTCCACATATAAATTTAATCATGAACATGAAGGGGAAAATGTTGTCTTGCTTTGTAGAGATGAGAAGTTGCAGCTTTTATTTGGTATGAGACGTGCAAATAGACAGCAGCCTGCTCTATCATCTTCTGTCTTGTCTAGTGATAGCATGCACATAGGGATCCTTGCTGCTGCTGCTCATGCTGCTACTAACAATAGCCCATTTACTATTTTTTGCAACCCAAGGTAGTGCAGTTTCTCCGGCATCTACCATGCACATCTTACATAATCTCTCTTTAATTTGGAATATTAATTGAATTTACCATTGTTTAAATAGGGCGAGCCCCTCAGAATTTGTTATCCCTTTCGCTAAGTACAACAAGGCAATGTATACCCAGGTGTCTCTTGGTATGCGATTCAGGATGATGTTTGAGACCGAGGACTCAAGCGTGCGACGATATATGGGCACTGTTACAGGCATCAGTGACTTAGATCCTGTGCGGTGGAAAAACTCGCAGTGGCACAATCTTCAGGTCAGTGCATATTTCATGATCAAATGATTTGATTTATGAATTGACCTCACTTGGGAAGATAGAATTTTATCAACCATATTTACATGTTCTCCTTTTTATTGATTCACACATAGCGCTACATCTGAAACATACATTATTCAATTTAGAAAAGTCTTGCTTGACTTTGTAATCAACAGGTTGGATGGGATGAATCAACAGCAACGGAGAGAAGGACCCGAGTGTCAATATGGGAAATTGAACCTCTAGCAACTCCTTTCTATTTATGTCCACCCCCATTCTTCAGGCGCAATTTTCCTGAAGCACCAGGAGTCCCTGGTAAGCAAGTTACATAAAAGTGTAATCTTGTGCTTCAGCTGCTATCTTGTTTGGTATAATCATGCCCTTACTGTCAAATGGCAAAATTGTTTATAAAGCTGTGCTGGTGATGCCATTTAGGCATTTGTGACACTTGACAACATGCTTGATTAACTATTCTACTGGTTTTTCTGTTGGTGGAATGTATTCTTATACTGTTCCGTTTGTGTTTGTCAGTGAGAAGTACCTCTGGTCCATTGTAATTATCTCGTCCATTTAGTCGCTGCCCTTGTATTTACATTCCAATGATCTATCTCGTGGCATATTCACATCCCTATTTATCATGTAGCTTTCTAAAGCCATAATCTCTTCTCACTCTTCATCTACTAAGTGATGTTTTCTGCAAAAGGAAGTCTTCTGAATGACACATGTTTATGCAGAACAGCATTACTCTAATTTTAAAAATTAGAGAACACAGTACAGAGAGAAGATGCAAAGGAAAAAGAAAGAGAAGAAAAACAAATGTAAAGAGGATATAGGGACTGTCAAACAATAAGCTTAGAGTTTTTGGTACAGGACTAGCAGAATTTTAGTGAAATCTTTTCAACCCTTGATCATGCTTGAGTTCTTGACAAGGTTACGCAGGTCTAAATGTTGGTTCCATGAACAAAATGCAATGAAACTGTTATAGGTGTTAGAACAACTTTTATTGCTTAGCATTACTGATATATGATACTTTCATGGTAAAGCTATGGTGCACATCCTGTCCTGTGTCACATCACGGTTCATCCTTTTTGTATTCTACATACAATCATTATTGACTTGTATGCTAAAAGATACTTACTTTGCAGATGCGCATGAAGTTGAAAATGCTTTCCAAAGGGTAATGCCATGGTTGAATGATGACTATGGCATAAAAGACACTCAGAGTGCACTTTTTCCAGGTTTAAGCTTGGTTCAGTGGATGTCTATGCAACAGAATCATCAGCTAATGACACCAGCTGCTCAACCAGCACACTTTCCCTCAGCAATTGCATCAGCTTTGCAAAATGGTTTGGTAACAGAAGATCCAACTAAAATGCTAAATTTCCAAACACATGGTGCATCTGCACCAAGTTTGAATTCTAAGTTAAATCCTCAAACACAGCAACTAAATCAGACTTTGCAACTGCCTCGTGAACTGCAGCAGCAGCCACAGCTGTTGCCACAAGCTTCTGCTTCACACCATGTGCAATTGCCACCACTGCAACAGAAATCTATCAATCTACAGCAGCAACAATTTCAGCAACAGGAACAGGGCCAACTACAGCAGCCTCAGAGTCAGCCTCAGCCTCAGCAACTTAGACCTGTTGCTGTTCAGGAAGCTGCAGATCATCAGCTTATGCAACACCAGACATCCAGTGGACAGATTGTATCTCAAACTCATTCATCGAGTCAACATTTGCAGCCATCTCTTCTGCAACTGCAAGAACTGCAAAGCTCGTGTTTATCAAGCATGGACCCTCTCCATCAGTCTCTGCTACCTCAGATCTTGCCGGTTCAAGAACCATTGGAATTGCAACATTCTCTCCTACAGAAGCAGCAAGAGCAATTGCAATGCCTAATGCAGCCACAGCTTCAGTTGCAGTTGCTGCAAAAGCTTCAGCAGCAACAATTGCTCTCTCAGCTCAGTCCATCATTGCTATCTCAGTTGCCGCAGCTTCTAGCTCAACAAAATCAGCAGTATCAAGAGCGGCGGGATTTACAACAGCGGGTGGATGGCTCCGGTAATCTATCACTCCAATTGAAGCAATTGCATCAAGAACACAAAATCAGTGTCCTTGGTAACCAAAAGTCTCCTCTACTTGTCAGAACTCAGTCTTCACTCAGTGGGACCAAGGGTCCATCTTCATCGAACTTTCCTTTAACTAACAGTCACATTGTTTCATTGAGCTTAAACGGTAAAACTCAGCAAGGACCAGCAATTTTAGTTGAAGAAACAGTTGCACCACCTGTGGATAATATGCTTCAGGAACTTCAAAGCAAGCCACAAGTGATGATCAAGCATGAGCAGTTCAGTTTTAACGAGTCTAAGCTTCCCAATCAGCTCCCTGTTGCTGATCAATTAGATGCTTTTTCTACCACTTCTTTTTGTTTAGAGAGTAAAGTGCATGAGGGCTTATCACTTCCCCCTCATTGCCTAGATGGTAACAGTCAAGATCATCAGGACAACTTTCTTCTTGGAACAATGCCAGATACCCTGCTATCAAGAGGCTTGGGTATGGGGAAGGAAATACAGAACTTGATCTCTGGTTATTGGCAGCAGAAAGACGTTGATACAGAGTTGTCCACTGCAGATATCAGTTCTCAATCATTCGGTGTGGCAGACATGTCTTTCAAGCCTGGCTGTTCAGCTGATGTTGTGGTCAATGAGGGTGTTCCTAATAGAGGAGCATGGGCTAACCAACATCAACGCATGCGAACATACACTAAGGTCTGCTACTTTCCTTCTATACTTAAGTGATCTACCATGTTGTTTCATACTAATGCATAAAATTTAAAAATGAAGGAATTACTTAGATGTGTCGGTAGTTCCTACAAGTTATCTGGGAACAGCATAATTGATTGTTTACGAAGCTTTATCAATATAGATAATTAACTGCTGACATATAAAATACTCTAAATTACTTTGTTTACTTGGTCTATGATATCACCTATCCAATTAAGACATTTAAGGTAGCAAAACAAAGCAGGTAACATTTGATAAAGGAAAAAAAGACATGGTTTAAATTACAAGTATTATGCTTCTTATTTTCCTCTTTCCAGTTTCTATTTCCATGAAGTGTAATTGTATTGTTCCTCTTTTATATTTTCTGAATTCCTATAACTGACGTACTGACTATAAAATTTTGAAGGTTCAAAAGCGTGGATCCGTTGGAAGGTGTATTGACGTAACCCGTTACAAGGGTTATGATGAGCTTCGACATGATCTTGCTTGTATGTTTGGGATTGAAGGGCAACTAGAGGATTCACACAGGACTGAGTGGAAGCTGGTCTATGTCGATCATGAAAATGACGTTTTACTTGTCGGTGATGACCCTTGGGAGTAAGCCCACATACAATGGCTTATGTTAGTTTTGTACTCTTTTATTCCATGCATCAAAGTGATTACATTTCTTTTATCCATATACAGGGAATTTGTTAGCTGTGTTCAGAGCATCAAGATTTTATCAGCAGCAGAAGTCCAGCAGATGAGTTTGGATGGTAACCTGATTGGTTTATCTGTGGGAACCGAGGCATGTAGTGGGTCTAACAGTGGTAATCCTTGGAGAGGCCAGCTTGATGATTGCTCATTTGCATCCTTTCAGCACTGAGTGATACACTGGTAAAAAAACAATCAATGGCACCATTCCAGAAAGCTATATATAATCTGCATGGCTGGAAACACTGCAGCCACTTCAAGAGAGGCTTCAACCATGAAATGAGCAGGCAAATTATTCTGCAGAAGCCTTGCAACAGCTTCAATCAGATATGTGATCCCCGACAGATGCATGATTTATACAAAGATGCAACCATGTGTTGTGATCTTGAGAAGAACCACGGGGATTTTGTGTCAATAAATGCTCATACGATGTGCCAAAAAGAAGAAAACAAGATATGAGTTTGCCTAGTTTACAGCTTGAAGCATAATTTTGC